TTAGGGTCCCTACTGTAGCTCTATATATACAGCATTAGGCTCATGGAAGAGAACAATAAAAACAATCCCATAATCCTTGGGAAACGTCAAACCCTCTCTCTCTCTCTTCCAAGGAGTTCTTCTATTTCTTGTGCTCCACTGATACAAGATCTAGAAAGCTGTTTGAGAATACAGTAGAAGATCTTAAGGTATATAGAGATTCCAATCATACATCCAAACCAGAGACCAAAACCAGCAAGTGACCATACCACGATGACCAGGACGACGAGACGAAGAGATCGCCATCGAGATCGCCGCCGAAAGCCGCCGCACGCGCCACCAGAAGGTAGCAGCTGCTGGGACTTGCACCGGCGCGTGATAGAGCGTGAGAAGTCCGATTTCTGATCGGTCAACGCCGTTGACTTCGCCGTGACGTCAGCTTTCTGGATTGGTTAAGTTTGTTCGATTCCGAGAAGATTTGATTTGCGGTCAACTGTCCGGGCCAGCCAGATCTACATAAATTTTAAGCAGTAAGTTTTCTTCATCAAACCTTTAGATCCGCTGCGCATAGTTTTATGTTGAATATTTATTCGTGATTTGTGCATATCGAGATCCTCGTGGGTTCCAACATTGGCTTCACCATCAAGGTAATAAGCTGCATACCTTACACGATCTGGACCGTCGGTTTCATTGAGCTCAAAATATTGCATCGCCCTATTGAGCCATGCGTCTGGATCGCTGCCCGTGAACGTGGACAACATGATGCGCGGCTTGTCGGGTGCACGTCAGTCGCGATAGGTGGATGCCTGGGATTGCCGGTCGAAGTCGTCTTCGTGCTCATACTCCTCGCGCCGCCGATCCTCTCCTTCGGGCCGCTCGCGGTCGTGGTGTCGCGCATGATCGCGTTGCCGCGGCGGTGGCAGGCGTGCGAGAACCGTGCGCGCCATCTCGTCAAATTTCCGGTTCACGGTTTCCATCAAATCTTGCACCGTTGTCTTGGTATTGTCAAGCCCTTCGCCCAACGTATCGATAGCTTCGCTCATGCCTCGGAATTGGACATCGAGATTATCAATTTTATCCTTCATCTCTTTGTTGGCCATGGCTTTTCTTTCCTCTCTTTGCTCTTTGCTTTGTGGACTCGTGATTGATGATGGGTATGATGATGAACTAAATTTTTTTATTTTTTATTTTTATTTTTTTTTATGATAGGTACGAAAAATAAAGGGGAAGAAAAGAAAGGAAATGGGGTAGAAGAAAAACACACGATCAACACCTCTCAATGAAAGCACCAATGATGAGGATCGTGTGTTTCGATTGCCGATAAGCCGCTAACCCGCACCTTGAATCACCGATAGTGTTTCTCTAGCCACAACATCGCCTATTGAAACGAATAAAATTGCAATAGTATTTTGGTGAAAGACTAAAGCAAAGTGGAAGAACAAAGTTCTGGATTTCTATTAATTCTTGAATGATGAAAAATAACATAGGGAAAGGGCCTTTATATAGGCACAAACTAGATCTAATCCTAAGATAACTATAACTCTAAATAAGCAATAAAATATTAAGTGTCCTAATCAATCTAGATATCTTAATGCAACATGGAAACTAAATAACTATGGATTTTGAACTTGACTTGCACTCCAAGGAATCCCTCTTTCCCTTATTCTCTCTCTCTCTCGCACGCCGCCTGGCCCAACCGCCTTGCACGCCCTAGTCCTCGAGGACTAGGGCACCGCCTTCCACGCGTGCCTCGTCACCCGGCGTGGCCAGC